TCCCACCCACATGTATATCTCATATCTCTTGTATACAAAACAATTGCACTGCCAGGCATATAATGTACAGTACGTATATAAACTATAATACATATGTCTTGATAGTCATAATAAATGCCTATGTTACTGGCTTATGTATGTACTGTACTTTCCATCATTACTTTAATGTGAATATTCCCTGCTTACAAATAAAAGTATAACAGTGTATGCTTAGACTATATGCAGCAGTATCCAATCTCTTGTACCGCATGTCTCTTGAGTATTGTAGCATTATCTCTCTGTTTAATTTTCTTTTGAAAATATTACCATGAAATGCATCATGGCTCCCAAATGCAGCAAAACTTGTGCTAGTGATAGTAGCAGCAAGAGGCAAAGGAGAAGTATTGATTCGGAAGTGAAACAAAAGGTTATTAAACAACACGAAGGTGAAAAATCAGTGAATGCTATTGCTTGCAAACCAGTCATTTTCTCGCAACGTCAAAATCACATAGCATCCTATTTCACAGAAGGTATCATGGATGTTAAGTGATGCATAACAATCTGACCAAACCAAATCCATTGCCATCAAGTTGATTCTGACTCATTATATACAATTATATATATAATTCTCTATATATAATTAACAGAGTATATTATAACACAATGTTTTATATAGATATGCAAAGAGAGAGAGAGCACAGGAGGCTGAAGTTATGGTTAGGGTAGCAGTGCCAGTTCAAAAGAGCTCTGAACGGAATGGTTGAGTACCAATTGTTTAATATTTGATGAAATGGCCTTTCTCCTTGGATCCAAACCTATAATGTTGGGCAAAAAGAAAAGACCTACTGAGACTTCTGGGCAACATAGCGCTATAGTCAGAACCACCATGCCATTTCTCCACAGCAAAGATCCGAAAAACTAAGTCAGAGTCACACATCAATCCTGAAACCCTAAACATCAAATGAAGAGATAAAGAACTCAGTCAAGCACCGAATGGAATAAGAAACTGACCATGGACAGAGAGCAAGGAGAGATACACGCAGAGGTCCCCTATCAGCTACCGCAGCATGGATTGGCCATCTTGGACTCCTATCGGAGATTAGCAAACAGGGGGCACAAGAAAGCAGCTTCACAGAACTTCCAGCAAGAGACAGAACAACCAGTAACCAGCGATATATGCTTTCCCACCCCCCACCATTCTTCACCCCCACTCTGCCTCCTCTGCTTCCCATGGCCACAGTCTTTTAGCTGGGGAGCATGGGTTTCACCCTGTGTTGCTTGGATTCCACACACCTGCACTGGCCGTCTCCCTGAGTGCCATTTGTTGGCTGCTAGTGTTGCTTTTTCCTGCTTCTTTAGATTTCTTCCTTACCTCTCACCACCTACCACCCCTTCCTCTCAAATACCTGGCTCCATGTGCCATCTTTACTCCTCCCTAAAAGGCTGTGAAACACCGCTTGACTGTGAAACTGCTTCCCGGCCTCTGCTGCCGCCCTGATGGGACCGCCAGGGCTTTTTGTTTGTTTGCTCTGATATGTTCTGTTTTCCTTTGTTTGTTTGCTTTTTTTTTCTTTTCTCGGCTTGGAAGCCCCTTCTAGCAGGGCAGTACTGCGCGGCTTGGAAGCTACTCCATTACTCTGCGAAGATGCACAAGGACATCATTGGGGGCATTTCTTTTTTCTTGTTTTTCTTTTCTTTTTTGTTTTTGTTTCTTTGTTTTGTTTTATTCTCTCTCTTAACCCTTTTTTATCTTTGTTTATTTCCAGTTTCTCATTTACTCATTTCTTTCTTTTAATATTTTGCTTTTTTTTTTATTTTTGTTTTCCCCATTTATGAGTTTCACATCTCTCCACTCCAATAGCAAGCTTCCTTAGCACTTTTTTGATTGTGTGTATATTTTTGGCTCCTGTTCCTCTCTCCCCTCTCTTATCTTTCCCATATCCATCTTAGCTCCACACACAAAATCTACTCCCTCGTTCCTGCCTTCCTGCACCATGCACTGAACATCACACTCCTAAGCAGCATAGGCATAGCCTACTGGAACCTGCCCTGCAATCATTCCCAGACTACACTGTCAGCCCTAGTACATGCCACAAACAACCCATCCTAGAAACTCTCCTTCAACTGGACCTGCCCTGTTGTACCATACCTGAGTGACTGACCATGCCCATTGGAGAAGGAGATGAAACGTATCATGCCCACAGATGAGCAAACAACAAAGAACACACATCCAGCCTGCTCAGACATAACCAAATAAAATAAAAAAGCAAGATGAAACAAACAAATCTGCAATCAATAAAAGAGAAAAATAAATAATGAATGCACTGAAGACAGCAGACAATATCAAAACGTATACAAAAACAGGTCAGGATGGTTCCAGTAGGCATCCAAAATAAAACACCAGATGACTTTCCAGTAGAAGAAAAGGCACTAGAACTACCTGATAGAGAATTCAAATCTC